GAGCCATCACTCCCCCCGCCCCCCGCCCCGCTCCTCACCCGCAGTCGCCGGCTGTCGGACCACTCCCCGAGGCCTCACGGGAAAGGGGCGGGGCCCCAGGGAAGCCGTCGGAGCGCGCGCCGCCGCCGCCGCCGCCGCCGCCGCCGCCGCCGCCGCTCTTAAAGGGGACGCGACACTCCCAGCTCGCTGGGCCCCAAGCCTTTGGCCTTCTGTTCCCCACTGCACCAGCTCCCCCCTCAGGCTCCACTGCCAGGCAATGAAAGACTGTCGAATCTAGCCCACTGCCTTCTGGAAAAGAAACCTGGGCTCTGCGTGGCAGTTTGCGCTCTATCTAGTTCGATCCTATTCTTAGAGCTCTCAGGGGAATCGATCTTTCATAACCCATCTCAATATTGTCCCCCAGTGTCTCTTAACAGGATAAGAAGTTGTCCTCTTGGGAAGGGCCTAAATCTCCATCTGTAATTTAAATCGGATTCTGCTTGTTCTGTCCTCGTAGGGAAAAAAAACAACAGCACTGTAGTAGTTCACAAATAATTGACTCAAAGGCAAGGATTACGGGTGTGTCTGTATGCTCGGTTTTCTCTACACATAAATTACCTGGTGTGAGTCATCTCTTGCAGATAAACTCCTCAATCTCACAAAGATTCAATCGGTTTGTGCTCAGATTTACCCATGCTCCAAACACTCCCCTCCCTCCCCAGGAAGAAATCTTTTGTACTGTGATCAGTTTCTCCTTCCCCTCTTGCTCCTTTTCCCTTCTATCTTAAAGCAGATTTCCCCAGCTCAGAAGCCACCTTTGACACCATATCTCATCTCTCTTCCTCAAAGGGTATTTTCCCTGTTCTCAGCCTCTCAACCTTGCACACCAGAATTTTCACAGTTCTCACCTCTTTGAGAACAGCGGATTTCTATTTTCTCCATTCTCCTCAGATCACTCTTTAGTCTTTGTGGGTTTTTTGTTCCCTCTAGACTTTCTCTAGAATGTTTCATTTCTACCTCTGCAGGAATGAACTCCAGATCCCAAGTCCTGACCTGCCACCCTCCCTTCAGGCCTCTACCTGTTGGATGCTGAGCATATCCTGCTGAGGCTCCTACTAATCTCCAAAACTAAAAATGTTTTTAAATGAGCTCATTTTACCCCTATCGACATACAGTCTTTCTCAATTCTTTCATACCATTGATGATACTAGCTATCAATCCAATGCCTATCATTCTGCCTAGAAGTCATGATTCTCAAACGTTTTGGCCATGTTACGGCCATATAACCTCTTTGCTAAGGCAAACAACATCCAGGCAACTCCCAGCTGTCCCAGTGTGGAGTCACTCCCATTAAACAGCTCACTAAGTTCTCTGAGGATGGTGAGCTAAAAAAAAAAAAAAAAAAAAAAAAAAAAAATGCTGGAATTGTGCTTAAGTCCGAGATCTATCCCTGTCGGGTCAGGAGCTGTGCCAGTGACTGAGCCCAGTCTCGCCTCTTAGTACCTGGGTCTGCCTGTCCCTTCCCAACCTCATGGCTGCCCGTCCCCTATACCCTGCCTCCAGCCTAACCTCACTGCCCTGTGTGAACAGGGCTGGGCTGTGTAGAGACAAGGAACCCAAGTGAGGATCCTTCCCAGTCTCCCCACTGCCCCCCTCCCCAGACCTATCTCTGTCACCCCAGAAGACCTAGCGAAGGAGTATCCCCGCTTCTTCAAGGCTCTTTTGCCCTGGCACAAAACCATTTTTCATTCTCCTAGTGTTTGGAGCTCAAGAAAAAAACAAAACAAAATGAAAGTCACAGATTGCTTGCCTGGCGGGAGTTGACAAACGTCTCCAAGTTCCAGATTCTACCTCTGTTTACTGGCCCCAGCGATGTAGTATCCCCACTCTCACCCTTTCCCCAGCAACCTCGTTAGAGCAGAGCTCCAGGAGGAATCTTGAGAGGCCGATAATTTTATCAGGCAGGCTAACCCCATGAGCCCTTGGCTCCCCTCAGAATGTACTTCTTTCTCAACCCAACAGTGCCCTGTGTGCCTCTCGCCCTCCAGTTTCTCCTCTCACTACTGCTGCCCCCTGCCAAGCCTTGTCATGTGCTTTCTGGAGTACCCTCCACCAGGAACAAACTGCCCAGCCCTTTCAGTTGCTGCACCGATGCCCTCTCCATCTCCTTCTTTTCCCGGTACCTGAACCTTGCTCAGGACATCACAAGCTCTGCCGCTGTTTCAAGTGGAGGCTGCTTCTTTCCTCACCACTCCACTGTCCTACACACACACACACACACACACACACACTCACGCTCACGCCCTGTATCAGGTGGCCTGAAGGAGGAGCGGGAACTCCGCTCACTCCCCATTGATTGTTGTTCCAGGCTCCTTACTGCTCCACCCTGCCTCGAAGCGCTAACACCCTCACCTTTCCCGGTCTTCTAACGACTTCCTGGTCTCTCTCGCACTTTCACGAAGCACTTGGGTATCTGCTTCACAGCTTCCTCTCCCCTCCCCCGCACCGCCCCGTGCCTACCCACCTCAGCCCCGCCTTCGATGCTCGTACAGGTAAGTCACACGGAATCCGAGACTTGCCTCCTTTTTTACTGGGAAAATCAAGATCCTCAGGAAAACAGTCACCGTCCTCACCGTCCTCAGCCTGCGGTCTCCCTTCAATATACCATCAGTGCCCACGCGTTCCTCCTGCCCTCCAGCCTCAGTGCTAGAGCTGTTCCTTCCTCCCTTATGAAACGTTAAGCCCCTGTCTACGCTCCGCATCCCGCCACCTCCTTCCTGCCTCTTCTAGGACCTACTCCAACTGTCATCTCCCTCCACCATCTTCAGCGGCTCCTTCCCCACCCCCTTCCTGTTCTCTAAAACCGCCTTCAGGTCTCTTTTAAGAAACAGCACCCCGGGCTTCCCTGGTGGCGCAGTGCTTGAGAGTCCGCCTGCCGATGCAGGAGACGCGGGTTCGTGCCCCGTATTCGGGAAGATCCCACATGCCGCGGAGCGGCTGGGCCCGTGAGCCATGGCCGCTGAGCCTGCGCGTCCGGAGCCTGTGCTCCGCAAATGGGAGAGGCCA